GCAACACATTGAAACGGTGCCAGAAGTGATAAAGGCAAGTATACAAATTTGAGCACTTCCAATTTTCTGAGAAATAAATAATTGACGTCTATTTAATATTTCATAGAACATTCTGCAATTTACGCACGAAATCATATGTTTCAAATAAATACCTACTTTATTATTGTTTATATTATTGGTTATAGTTCAATTCTTACATTGAACATTACATTTACAAAATATACAAATACAACATTTATATACTTAAAACAACACGTATAAATAAATCACATTTAGCCATTTGAAATCTCTAATTCGAATCGTGAATGAACGCGAATTAACTTTTATTTTAACTTGAAGAAATTTTAATACATATGTAACAGAGATAGTGAATAACAGGAAAATCTGGTAAAACACAAAATATTATTGTTAAAGGTGTATTTAACGCCAGATGGTCGCTACGTTCCACCAGAAGGACGGTTCCATTACAATCATGCAAAGACGATAGACACGACATACGTTATTCGCGCGCCCCATCGACAGTCTAATGGCTACGGTTACAAGCATTCGAATAATCACATCGACAATAAACATCATCGAGACTTCCCGAAAGTACAAAGTTATCCGAACTACAGACAATTCGCGCCCATAATAGTGCCCACGAAACCTGGAATCTACAAACCTATTGTAACGCCTTTAGTACTTCCTGGTAACACTGATTTGTTAGAAGATCCTTATTTGCCTACGTGGGACATTCAATACGACTGGAGCACTGTCTACGAGCCACTGGATGATTACTTTGTCAACAATATCGCCCTCTTTAATTCCCATCAAGTAAGTTTCAGACAACAGTTTATTACACAATTAAAAATTGACAATTTAAACAACCATAAATACCGTAAGTTTCATACATACCTATGAGCTGTTAAATAAAATTTGCTTGTATGTGCAGAATTATTGTTTCTTAAAAATTCAACATATACATCGCATTATATGTTATTTCGTTAGTATATATATTTTTATCAACAGAAGAAAATGGCTGCGATTTAATTATAACCCGTTTCATCAAAACACTATCTGAGGTACCAGAGATATCTGTGGGCTTTTATTTCAAACAAGTTTTTTTAATTTTATATTAAAGTAGACAAAAGGAACTATTACTTATCGAAATCGATTTTGAAAACATCAATATTTTACAAAATGGCGGCTGTTTGAACTTAAACTTGTAGTCTTCGACATAAATTTTCAACTTCTTATGTTACTAAAAAAAGAAAACATGGACGAATCAAAAATTTGCTTTGTCATGTACTAGATTTTAGTCCTAAGAAAATTACCACAAAGTTTGATCGAAATTAGTTCAGTAGTCTTTTAAATATTTGTGGTACCGATATTGAAAATCGCATTTCGAGTAAAACGCTTTTAAATGGCAACCATTTTCTTCTGTTGATAGATGTATAGCTCAATTTTTACAGAAATTATTAAGAAAATAACATGTAATAAGATAGCTATGTTGAATTTTTAATAAACAATAATTCTGCCTATCGAAAAATATTTTTTTAATTTCAACAAGACAAATATTACCGAAGACGAATTTTTGTGTATTTTCTTAGGAAAAAAATAGTAAATTACCAAACACATTATTCTTAAGTAACTTCAGAAACTTACTAGGTTTTTCTATCCTAGAATAATAGTTTACTCATCCTGTTTTCCTTAAATTCGTTAAATTCCACAACAATTTTCCTCGCTAAATTAATGGTAAAATAGCTATTCGAGGTAAACTTGTTGCAATATTAAAAGACCTTGTCACGTCTCTGTCCCGACAAAGATATAAAATGATATATCTTACTTAACTGTCACGAGTGGACGACCACAGGCCACGCGGGGTAAAACGCGTGTCGACACACGAGATTCTAGTTTACCTAGTTCGTTTAGGCAGACCGCAATTTTCTAGGATTACCAGCCTGTGTGAGAAGATAGGTCATCTAGCCGTCCTGTTCTCAGGACACGAATGAAAGTGTGTGCTCCGTGAGTACACTTGCTACTGCACGCTCGCTTGCACCCGTGGTATGCAAATTACACGCGAAACACCAATAACAGGCTGCTACGCCTTTTCCTTTCTTAACGGATTCCATCCGATAATCCCGCGAGCATCTGTCGCGCCAACAGCGGTTGCATCATTTCACCTAGTTTTGTACAAACGTGTTGATTGGTTTAGTAGATTATGTGTACATATATTTCTCAACTTCGTTCGCCTCTTAAAAATTGCTAGGTATACCAATGAATAATCCAACGTTTTCGATTTCTGAACGAAAACACTGTACGTTTCAATGGAAATAAAAAAATATAATTGTCATAATAACATGTTATTTTAACCATTAACAGATTTAGGAAGTATGTTTTATTTAAAATATATTGCGTGTAACTTAAAAAATACTTACTTATACCGCAAATGAAATGTTTATTAGAAACATTTATTACTATGCCGCAGAATATGCAGATTTCTTTGTAAACTTTATAATTAGGGAATTTATTTATATTATTAGTAGAGAAGCTTTATTGCAGAAATTATATATAGAGAGACTAGATTTTTATTGCAAAGCGTGAGATTGTCGTACATGAAATATTGATAGTCCACTGTTTCCTTAATTAGACTGAGAAACGGATTAAATTCAGTGTACCTTCTTATCTTTGTGCTTGAAAATTATGTGGTCTCACTTATATATTGTTATAACAATTTAAAAATAATTAAATGACACCTTCGCAATTATAACAGGATAAGGAAGAAACCATATTTTAAATTCACACGTTATTTAAATACATATATACAGTCCTGTTTTTTGCAGATTATAACCGACTATCAAGGATTTCTAAACGATTTCCACGGACGATCATCGAGACACGTCCAATCTCATCCTGCAAAAGCAAATCAGAATACTTCTCCAAGAACTAGGAAACAAGAGTCGAGGAACAGCGGTACAAATTCGCAAGCAACATATTATGAAAATGTCCGATTTAATGTCAACAATATAGTTTCTCGGTATACCAATCTTACTAGTATTCCAGAGACTAATTTCGCATGTAACGGCAGAAGGGGTATGTTTGCTGATGTTGAAACTTACTGCCAGGTGAGTGTTTATCTGTCGCAAAAAGAATTTAATATCTGGTTTTACGTAAAAGGTATCAAACGGAAAGAGATACAGTAATTCTTTTCAAGAGACTTGAATCAGATCAACGTAAGATTAGAAAAATTAAACTGCACAATTCTAGAATTAGCAGATTCGACTTAGACTAATCTAGAATCTAAGGGCTCGAGTCGGATTAATTCGGGACCGATAGGATTAAAGTCCCATAGTCCATTGGTCCTATTCGGGCCACTTCTGAATTGACATTTCTTTTTAAAATTCTTACTGATTTATATACTTTCCGTCTAGGTTTTTTACAACTGTTCAGGTTGGTCAATGACTGCTGCACTTTGTCCTGTGGGTACAGCGTTCAGTGAAGTGACAAAGCGTTGTGAATGGTGGAATACAGTGCAATGCAAACGATAAATACAATAAATTATATATTAAACTATATTAAAGTTACAAAGACGGTAGCAGTAGCTAAACAGTTTCCATATGTCTACGTTATTTAATAACTGTAATTTAAATAATGAATTAATTTATCATGAGAACATACAATTTTAAACATATCAGCTTTAAAGGTGTAGAGCAGTAATCTTTCTTTAAATTTATAAATGAGAATACCACTACGATAAATATTGTATTGTTTTTCAGCGATATCATTATTTTGCAATGTATCAATATCGTATTGACAAAAGAATTTTTTATAGATGCATAATCTAATTTCTTCGATATCTGATATATTAAAATATTGTATGAAGATGTAAAAGCGAAGTACATGCAAAATATTGTCGTCACAGTATAATATACATATATCCATAAAGTAAAAAGATGTAAGGAAACTTGTAGAAGTGAACAATTTATTTATTAATATCTGTATATAGAAATTATTGTTGTAATATTATTGACGATTAATATTGATTACTGTCAGTTTTTATTTCTTATGTTGCTTATAATATCTCAAGTATATAAAAGGGCACAAATTCGTTCAGTATATGATATGTCATGGAACAATTCGACGTATTGGGCAATAGTAATAAAATCAAAGCTACATTGATATGATTAATATTTAAATCGGAATACGATGATAAAGAAGGTTTTATTATATGATTATTATTATAACGTATTAAAAAGATAATTTTATTTACCCAGCATCCAGATTAATGCACCAAACACATTTATATTAATTTTTTCTTAAACCTTAATTTTAATTTTCAAAGTGAAAAGTCAATATACTAAATTCATGTACTGTTTGTTCTTTATTAATCAGTATTTATACTGTTTCAGAAGTAATGAAATTATATCTACATCTTTTGACAAAGCAAGAAACAAGTATTTTCTTATATAATCTGTAGTAACAAATGTTGTTAAGAAACAATAAGTGATTCTGTTCCATTGGAATTCTTTACAATGCTTAAATATTTGGTACATTTGAATACAATGGTGTTATGTCTTAGCATTTAATGAAGGTTCGCTTAAGTTATACAATAATTTACTAAATAATCATTATCTAAATTCTTGTGTCGAAGTCAGTTTTAAAATGTATAAGCTGTCCATTCCTGTGCGTGAAAAATGTTTCCTTCGGATGTGAATGAAAATGTAGAAACATATAACAAGAATGTTAAGAAAAGTTAAGTTGTTATGTAATTCCTGTTATTAAAGCTAGTTTGAAAAGGTCTAAATTTGCATAGACATCTACAGTCTAGTTCTTGTTACAAGAATTAACATTTCCTGTTTAAATTCTGTTAATTGCTTTCTTAACATTATGAAATATAATAAATTAGACAGATGACGAAGATTCATTCGCAGCCAATGATGTTGAATTATTTAAAAAAGCATGATTTTTTAATAGATCGAATTAAAAGTAGTGTTCGTAATTTTGAACAGCAGCCACGGTCTTTAAATCACAACGATCCTCATATGTTTTGGAGGAGCATCCTTCTTTGGCTTTGGTAAATAGGGGTTCTTCTCCGGATATAAATTTAAGCTGAAATAAATCAAACAATAATATACATTACAAGAGGTTGTATTTGACTAATAATCTGTTATAAATAAGAAGTTATAGTGTTACGTTAATTAATTTCTAAGCGTCTATCTTCTCTTTAGTTTCTTTTCATTTTATTTTCTTATCACTTATCCACGGATTTCTTACAGTACTCTCACGTTACCTTTAACATAGCTGTCGTAAAGAAGGTAGTACAAGAACTGAAACGAATTGAAAAATATCTTACGAATTATTAAAATTGTTTAAGAAATCTGTTCCACCCTAAAAGTAAGTTTACATCCGGTTGCAAACGAGGCCTTATTTGCATACCAGATTCCGACACTTCCGACACTCCTTTCCAGTCGACAATTCTATTGTTAAAAAAAAAATGGTTAGCTATGAGTAATGGCACTTCAACAGACCCTACGCGCCAAGTAGACCGGGTAATTTCCATGTGTTTCCTTTCTATCAGGTAAAGGTAAAGGTAGGCATCCCTTGTTTTCAAGAGGAAAGGCGTAATCTCTCCCCATACCAATACAAAATTTGTCCAATTACGTATTAGCTGTAATAAGTATGAACCCAAGCGTTCAATGTCAATGTCAGTCGATTCCCAACCGGACACCGAGCAACAGGAAGCTGCTTATACATACTCCACTACTGTAAGTAGTGATCTTATAAGTACAGTCTTTTGTATTTGTTTACAATTTAAACCAGTCTTTCGAATATTGTAATAATTTGAAAAGTGTAGATCATGCATGCTACATTCTTAAATCCATTGAAACGAATTATATTGAAAATACTACAAGGATATCACATAATCCTAAGAAGTACGACTTTGTGTAAGAAAATAATTATTTTCTAACAAACTCCTTATTTTTCAGATTTTTTAAACATAAAGGTCAATTGAATGTCATATAATATATGATAAAATTCGTTTCTGGTAATTAAACATCAGACTTGTTCTTTGAAATAAATGTACAGTGTTTTTATGAAACTTGGTTCAGAATTTCCATTCAAAACTGTATTTATTAAGGAATAATAACATACCTGTACAATTCTATAGCTTCCGCACAGTTCACGTTATACCACCAATCGCAAGCGAATTCCTTTTGGTTGAAAAGGGTTCCATTCGTACACAGGAAAGACGCGCCTTGATGACCTTCACGGCCGTCGTGACAGATGTGATAGGCCTACGACATTAATGTACGTTATTCATTATTGTCATACGCGATTTAAGCAATGAATATGTTGGTATAAAAAATACGTAATTATAAAATATTAGTGTTGTCCAAATTATTACTGTGGTAGATGATGTCCTAAAGTGCAATTTTGCAAGGAAAACGTTTAAAAAATTACTTCTTAAATTTTTCTTATAATATTTCTTTCCAATTGCAAAGAAAAATAAATATGATATCTCCAATGTTTCTTAAATGGTTTGGACCAACTCGAATATTGTGAAGTTTTTACAACTAAATGTTCGTCTTCAAATGAGAAAAAATATGTGAAATTGTTCACTTCATTGGTGCAAATCATTGGACGAACACCTACGCCTTACTGCATATTTGCATGCAATACCAGTAAATTTATTTATTTCCAAAAAGCAGATTGTAAATAGATTGGAAAATGAAAAGGAAATATTCGACTTTACTATCGCTCGAATATTGTCATAATACAGTATCGATAATACTACCAATACTTCGGAAACAAGATTTCATAAAAACATTTTTCATTTTACATTTTCGATGTGTTTTTGGAAAATATCAAGAAAAATATTATTAACACCCCACGTAAACTTCTTTTTTAATCCCGATGTAACATATTAAGCCACGTAATACGCTTCTATTGCAACGAGAAACGTCATTAAGTTTTAATTAACGCCACACGTGTCTGACAGATCATTCAATTTAATTTTCCACTAGCACGACACTTCATGGAAATAAATTGAACTCTATATCTTCGATCGATCTTCTGCCATAGAAGTAATTCCTTTTTCTTAACACTTTGAAATAGCATAAGGAATACATGCTCGTGATTTAAATAATTAATGAGACAAAAGCCGAACGAAGCAGATTACCTGACAACCGGTTTCCACGTTCGCGTACATTCCTGGTGCGAATGGAACGTGCGCGCATGAAAAACTTGTCGGCGGTACAGTGTGATACAAAGGATAGTCGACGCCGGGAATACCAGGAATCTTGCTGAAGTCTTGTTGATTCTTCGGTTTCTCGATCGCCTTCACGACGATCGGTCGATCGAACTTTGCGTACGGTTGGTAATTTTGGTAGTCATTGTATCCGTAATCGTCGACCACTATTCGATGCTAGAAAGAACAAAGTTATTATTATAAAAAGCAAAAGATTAACGAAAGTATACTTTATAATATAAATAACAAATATTCTGACAGAACAGTAAAATATCGTTTACAACATGAAAAGAACAGAAATACAGTTATTATTGGAAAGGGAAAATTCGACGATAGCTTAGTATTCTTAACGATATAAAGGAAAAAGTATTCTTACAGTAAAGTATTCTTTATAATGTAAAAAGAACAGGAATATAGTTATTGAAAAGAGAAAATTTAACGGAAACTCACTATTGTTTATATCATAAATAGCAGTGCATTTCTTGTAGATATTGTATTTGTAATATTTAGTTCGACTATTTACTACATAGACTATTTTATTTAGCTTGATCAGTTACACAATATCTTCGTGTTATAGTTATATTCTATTTATCTTAGGTGGTATATTAATATATGAAGAATTATTGATGTTAATACACGGATCCTTTCATTTCTTTTGTTCAGTAGCAGTATGTATATCAATATTAACGTTTTTCATATTTTTGCGATGGTCAAGGTAAATGAAGCATCTTGTATAATGTTAATTATGATGCTTAACATTTCTTATACCAACCTTAACAGTTTTAAAGCGTGGGAACAGAAAAAATTAGTATTGGTGAATAAATATTACATTTTTACGTTACTATCGAGATAATATTTACTATATTTTGATAGTATTAAATAGTATGTCCAAGAATAGGATTTAGTATGAAATAAGTACTACTCAATATCAGTTTGTAATATTGGACAGTGCTGTAACAGTCTCATAGATTATTCTCCAGGAAGATATTTCGCATATACAATATTGGAATTATTTAACTTCGATGTTATTTGTAATCGAACGAATAGAAAGGAAGTGAACGTACGATACAAAATTGTTCCAAGTGAATCACGCGTAAAATGATCGTGCAAGCTACTAAATATTTGTCAAAATGTGTATAAAGTGGCTTTATATTAATTCCAGTATTTACATTAATTGTTAGATTCAGTTATAAATAACTTTTACTCTCTTTTCTTAAATTTCTGTCGATGTTTAAAATTGACATTCATCCATTGCTCAATTGTTATTAAACTTAATTACTGTTATCTGTTAACTATTTTTGCTATAATCATTACTTAATTAATGAAGCAGTTCATTTATCACTCAACCCAATATTATACTAAGCTTAAACACGATAATTCCTTTCCTAAACATTTAATAACTAATCATGTAAAAATCATTTAACATTGAACTCGAATCTTCATATAACTCTTAACATGAATAATTTTAGAAAGAAAATGAAAATAGAGCAAATAATTTGTTAATGAGATGCATAATTTTATGAAAAATACGTACAGATCGTGCACTATGTATATTATAACACACAGTCCCTGTAAATTGTATCCTGGAATCTTCTATTCTCCTAAAAGTTAACTGTATACCCATGTATTGTTATGATATAATCGATACCTTTACTGTTAAATCAACAGACAATATATTCTAAATTCTAAATGTACTGAAAATATTAAAAGAAGCTAGAATAGAAAAGTTTATGATAATAATTCGAAAGCTCGTGGTACAACGTTAAAATATTAAGTGAATTGGAAGCATAACGATGACCTTTAAGAATAGCCTTCAAGAATAATGTGGATTACCTGTAGAGGAGTAGTGTAGGCTGTTACCAAGAAGATGGCTATCAGCAATATAGCAAAGTTGCAACAGTCCCCGGGCATGTCTGCACTGTAGGTAATAATAAACGAAACTAGTCCAGTTTTCAATGCGCAGTCGAGTTTCAACTCGCCGACTGTTCAAAAGATTATGTCACAGCGTGAGAGAGAAAGTTGTACCCGGGACATAAGTCGAGCAAGGACCTATTCTGATTTGATGTGTATACCGTCTAATTGCAACGTGGAACACCGTCTTACATAAACCCACGAATCTGTTGTCGGTGGCTTTTTCTTTCGTTTTTTACGTGAATGCCAATGTTAATGCATTATCGAACGGAGACTCTACGAAAAAAGGTTACAAATCCCTCGAACTATAAATATGGATGTACAACTGAAAATGACAGGAAGTCAAAAAGAAGAAATTATAATTTGTTTTACGTTTCAATCGATATTAATGAAAATGGAACATTGTTTTAAGGACGTTGGAATAAAACATGAAACGAGAAATTCGTGACAGACATTTTTACGTAGAAAAACAGAATAGGCGGATATTTTGTTCAGTTCGAATAGATTGTTAGTTTACAAATAACCAAAGTCACAAATTGTCATTAAATAATCAGTAATAAAGGGAATAATATGTTTTTAAAACTACCTTAATAAAAAGGATTCTGCTTATTATATTTTATTCTTGTTACACACTTACCAGTCGTGATTTCTGTAATACCTTCACTGAAAGTGGCTCCATTATATTTTCACATGCCCAAAACAGCATTACAGGAAGCTGTTATATAATTTCGAAAGCTCGAGGAATTTTCTTGACGTTATTAGAACGAGAATAATAGAGAGTTAATACAGGTATATAGTTACTTAAACTTAACTTTCGATGGTATTCATTCGCTGTAGTACCTACCCTAGATCATTGGACCATCAATTATAGTGTTTCATCACTGTGCTCTTCGCGCTTTACACTGCTCAATACAGTTTGTGACACTTATTTTAGCTAATGAACCAGTTAAATCAAATTTTAGCAAAGCACAAACGTGTCCAAAATATTTTAGAATCTGATTTACAAAAATTGAAATTCTATTATTACTTTTTCTTGCTATCATTTTACTCGAGTGTCTTATTATTACTAATTATTTTTCTTATGTTGATATTTATAAACATTGACAACGAAATACTAATATAGTAAATTTATAATATTTTAAATAAATTGATAGCAGTTAGGTCGATGCAAAACAGACAATAGCGTACCGCCATCTGTACGCTCATTCTAAGTAGAAATAGTCAGTGATGCACAGACATATAAATCAGACATATTCGAAACGTCTGAGACATTTTTAAATTTAATTTTCTCGAGAACTAAAACTTGATATTGAAAGATTGTACTCTGCATTTTTTACTCATGTTAGCATCAATTCGTGTTCAATTATACAAACCTCTATATAACAATTAATTTTATCTCGATTTGCGTCAAATAATATGAAAACAATTAACGTACCCGTTCAAGGTATTACTACATAAGAAATTTAGTTCTATTTCTAAATAAATTATTAATTTTAAAATATTAGCTTTATGCAAAATTTGTATCGTTTTTGTATGGATTATTACTTGAATCCATTCACCTTGATTAAAGAATCATTTCAAAATTATATATCACTTCATTTATCAAGATTATTCTTGCGACAAATGTTTCGCACGAACCTTTCATTAGAAAAATATCCTATATGCATACTATTAAAAACCCACCAGTGTGGACAATAGTAGTCAAAAGCATTTTCTTATTCAATTATTAATTCTACCAAAGTGATTATCTCAGTATTCAGTTAACGGTTTAATAGTTTATGTTTGTAAGCAGTAACTTGTAAGGAAATTTGATCTCATAGTTTGGTTCTATTACAATTATTGCTTAAGTGACCGCCATTGTCTCTCTTACCCTGCTTTACAAGACGAACATAATTAAAGAATAAGCATTCTAGGGAAAAAAATTGAATTACACTTTTGAACAGTTTTATTAAGTAAAAATCTAGTATATACAAATAGTAGATATAAATTAAGAATTATTCGACTTAGCACCGTCGCACGTACCATCTACAAATACTACTGCGTAAAATGGGTACACGATCGTACCGATTTACGCGAAGAAATTGGTCGTTCCACGATCTATACTCACGCCTGGAGAGCGGTGACTTGATTCGATCGCTCATCTTAATTGACATCGTGTAAAGAGGTCGAAGAGCGACTGAAGCGACGAAATTTTGCTGTTTATGACGTTTCACGTCCCGGATTCTTCGGAATTTTTTGATTCATGAATAACACGATCGGCGAGAATATTTGTCACCATTCGTGTATCCCTTTGTCGATCAGTATGTTTGACTTACTTTTTTTTTCTTTTTTTAATCGTAGCTCAAAGCAATACACAACATGAATGTTTAACGAAAAAGAAAAAATATATATAGGTTGAGGAACACAGAACAAATTGTCCCGCATTGAAACTAGGAAGTGGTAAATCGTTGCTACACTAAAATTAATAGTTATCATACTTGCACATGAGGGAACATGCAAACACCTTGTTAGCGAATATCTTTCACTCCCGTTTTTAATGTACGAAACTGAGACTGAATGGTATGAGAAATGGAAGAGCGACTTGTCGGTCCTGTAACACGTGTACAGAACGTGAAAATATGATAATTGGCAATTTCTTTAATATGTTATTTGCTTCTGTCCTTTTTAGACGCAAATATCAAACAGTAACCTGTCGACCGGGGATAATTTTTATAAACATTCATAGTATGATATTCATGGTAAAAACACCATTTGCTCGAAATAAAACTTTTTTTTATTATAATAATTTCGTTATTTTCAAATTTCTGTTTTCGTTTTTGCTTGGAATAGAACAGAAATTAATTAGAAAAATAAAAGATTTTGTTTTATACCATTCCTCAGATTCATATTTTCTATAAGTGCATAAATGTCGAAATTCAGAATATAATTAAATAAGAAAATTCAAGTTAAAAAAATTAATCTTCCCCTGTTAACAGGTTAACATCGTATGTACGGCAGAAGGTTCAAAATACAGAGGTGTGCAAATTATTAGAATCAAGCTATAACAGTTTACAAAGAACAAAAACCTTTTTTTTACAATATTTGTACGTTGATTTAATGCCTAATCATATGACCTTCCGGTCGAATTTCAAACACGATTCCATGTACAGATTAGGCATGTAGTACATTAAAATACACTGTAAGCTTTCCAAAATTTTAGTTAACATATATTCGTGAAAGAATGTCTATTTGTCAAGGTAATCTGAAGAAACAACAAAACTCCTCGTTATCACTTCAAATCTTTCGCCCAAAGAGACATCCAAACTCTGAATTCATACGTACAATGAATTTACACTGTTAAACAAAATTATGAAAGATCCTAAAATGATGGAGTGAAACTGAATGTACCTACTTGATTTTTAATTGGTCAATACCATGGTAATCTCACTTTTGAACCCATCCATAAGGACCTTTAAAAATTTAATTGTCAATATAGTATACAGGGTGTCATGTAACTAATGGTACAACCGGATATGGGGTGATTCTATGCTTTAAAATAAATCGAAAATATACAATAAAATTTCACGTGAGATTTAATTTTCGAATAAATCAACTTCGAAAATTAACCTGAAACACGCGTATTCGTTATGATAGGAAGTAGAAACTAAATACTAGCCATTGTGACGCGTAGGGTCCAACCAAAACCAGCATCTTATTCAGCAACCTTTAACTGACACAAAAAACCAGATTCAATTTCATAATTTTGGAATTTGTTTAACAGTGTAATTTTTCCACCATAATTTCTCGATATTACCGTGAAAAAAAAACCAACAAAACCAACCACGAGACAAGAAAAAACACTCGTATCTAATAATCTGCACAATTCTATAGCGGCGATGCGATCCAAAAAATCAATCATGTGAATCAAAAATCGCGAGACCTATATTTCATTTACATGTTGCATGATTAATACTCATTTCCAAAGGCACCAGATAAGTGACCTTCTCGCTGGCCTCGCCTTCGCCGTCGTGCTGCTTCAGAAGCGGTCTGGTTCTACCGATCAGTTTACGTGGCCGTTGGATCACCTCCTCGTAAGCGATATATTCTGGTCTGGGGATCGATGGCTTTTGTTTCTTCGTGTAATAACCCGCGGACGTGTTCTCCACCGCGTACACTTGCTGGTCAGACTTGGCCGATGGTGGCACGGGAGTGACCGTGTATCCAGCATTGATCAGAGCAGACAGATCCTCCTCCGTCAGAGTGCGTGCTTTAGGGGTGGCAGTTTGGTAGACGGGACGGCTGTTGATCTGGGGTTCAATTTCTTCGATAGTTATCGACTTGATCGGTGACTTCTTCAACAAACCAGAATCAGACACGTACACCGATTGGGGGACAGATGGGATCTTTAGTTTGTGCGCTTGACGCGGTTGCGTGATGACCGGCTGCAATTGGGCGACATCGATTGGCTCGGCGCCGTCTGGTTTCGGGACAGATCTGGGGACATAGGAGGAACTGGACGCTTGGTACTTCTGCAGCTCGTCGTTGCTGAAGTAACTGTTCGGCAGAGTATAGGGTGTATTGCTAGTTTGCAGATTGTAATGATAAACAGGAGAATCCCCGTCCACCTTTTTCCCTTGTACTTGATTCTTCGAGATCGCTATGATCTGTTTGTTGAGCTCTCCCCGTTCCTGCAGCTGCATCTTGTAGAGCGCCTCGGCCTGCGCTTGCGCGATCTCCTGGGCGCGCATCTGGTTCTTCTCGAAGTTCAACGCATAGTCGGCCACCTGCTCCTGGACCTTCAGATGAGCTCTTTGTTGAGCTTCCAGGTGTCGTATGGCGTCCGCGTGGGCCTTGAATTCAGCCGCCTGTTGTTGTTTCCTCGCTTCCGCTACCTCAGTGGCCGATTCAGCCTTCTGTTTCGCCCTATAGGCGGCCTCAGCTCCTTTCGGGAGCAGTTGCTCGTGCTGATAGTTGCGACCCGCGTCGCTGACCTGGGCGCCCTGTTGGATCTGTTCCAGAGCGGACCGTTGTTTGTCCTGCTCGTTGTTCAGCTGTATGTGCGCCAGAGCGTTCTGCGCGTGTTTCTGGTACTCGACTTGAGCGACCTTTTGGAACGCGATCGCTTGAGCCTGGGCTTGAGCTTGAGCCTGCGCTTGGGCCTGCTCTAGGGCCTTTAAGTGCGCTTCGTCCGCGAGGTAGTCGTACTGGGGAGATGGAGTGAAGGCTTTCGCGGGCTGTGGTTGGTACTGGGCCGGTTCTTCGACCGATTGGTATCCCACGACAGGTTGCGGCTGATGGTAACGCGGCGGCGATGTTTCGATGTGGTACTGTTCCGGTAGCTGAGGTGGCGCTGCTGTAGGCTTAGCGTATTGCACTGGGTAACCGACCAACTGCTGGGAGTACGCGGATGAGCCTCCTTTCGGCTGGGTCGGGAGCAGCTTGAATTCTTGTGCTTGATTCGCTGAGACCAATTGTAGGAGTTCTTGCTCGAACGTGCCCAGTTTCGGTTGACTGTAGGAAGGTACCTGGTAGCTGTTCGCCCCCGATTGGCTAGAACCTAAACGAGCGGTGCGTATCGCTTCCGCGCGACTTTGAGCGTCCACTTGAGCTTGTATCTCCGCGGCTGCCTCCGCTTGAGCTAACGCCTGGGGATGAAGTTGAGCACGTGGCCGGGGCGGAACTACCGTCGGCTTGCGGTAGTTGTAGTAGGCTTGTTGCAACGCTTGTTGCTGTCTCGCGTACGCCGGCTGCGGTCTGCGTTGGGGCGGCGCCGGCTGCGGTTGCTCTTGCGCATACTGCAACGCGGACAGGTACTCCGGTGGCAGCTGTAAATATACGTATGATTTTAATTAGAATGAAACTGTTTATTGAGATTCACGTGACCTGATCTTTGTTCGACTAATTCAATGCAGTATATTCATTATACTAGGACGTTTCATAGATCAAAGTTTTGGGGGTCGTTTCGCGAACAAACGGTTCCAAATATGTGTAGTCCGAACGTTTGGCGAGGAATTTGATCAGTTCAAGCTGAGCTTGATCATAGTGCGGAGTTCGAACTGAAAGTTGCTTCCAAGCAGTCTGATAATTACGGAAGTTTATGCAAATTCGCAATTTCAGATACGAATAGCTAAACATTGAAATGGAACAGAAGTTTGAATTTTGCACTGGAGGCTTTTAGTACGTTAGTGGTCACACACAAATGGTATGAAACTTTATTAAAATCTTTGCTTTATTGCATTTTCCAAGTTGATTCGAAATTAGTACATAGTACTACTCGTTTGTTTGACAGTTTCTCCGGTGTTTGTACCCATGAAGTGAGCAGTATAGATGCACTTATTTTATTAAAAATATAGGATATTAGTATCATGATACTCGTTGTGCAAAAATTAAGAAATTAAGTTGTTAACCAGAAACTCTATAATATATTATGTGTACCAATAAGTAATTCACTATAATTTGAATACAGTGGCAGTGCATTTCAGATTCAGAATATCTTCCAAGCTTCTGTTTAGTTAAAATGACGAAGAGTGATGGGAACGAGCTACGAATATTGCTCAAATACAATAAGTTTTCGAATTGTTTCGAAATTAATACAGAGTTTCACAAGAAATAGTAGACCATTTATTGGTACACCTAATATATTTGCTTTTATTCTATAAATAGGTATTTGTTTGACTACAATACAAGAAATATATCGAGTATATGCAAAATTAAAAACTATTTTGAAGTCGTAAATTTTTATTAATGTTGAACAATTGTTACAGCAATTATTACTTTAAATAGTTCCCCTCATTTAGTATAAACTTTTTCTACTGTTCTAGCAAAAATTGAATTCGTTACTGCTAACATTAAATATCGTAGCAATATTGACTTAAATATGATGGCCATTGCTTTCATATACACTTAATACAATCTTATTCTTCATTAATTACACTTAATACCATCTTATTCTTCATTAATTACACTTAATACAATCTTCTACATTCAATTAACACTCATACATTAATTTTGTATCCACCTGAGTGACAAAAATAGTAATATTCATCGACATTAGCTTCTTCTTTAATTTTCTTATATGTATATACACTTTATACATTAACTAATACAAGAATTTATAGAGTCATCAATAAAATTCCATTGATTTCGCATTTGTTATAGTGCACGTTTGAAAGAATCCTCAACCACGTTAAAATATAAAGTGAAAGACAACCGTTATAGTGCATCGTGATCGAAAACCGCAAAGCGCTGTTTTAAAATTATTCCAGTTTTATTAACGACTGTCTTATGAATGAATCGTCAGCATTGTGGATGAGTCGATGACCCATAAATGAAGGTAAATAAAGATTCATTCAAAGCGACTCGTCACGGTAACGGTACACAAGGCCGTGTACCATATGGAGAACGTATCTAGGGCCCGCGAGACCAGTAGACGGATATACTCTCGATCATTGGGTGTGGTATTACCGGTTTTGTCAGGTCGAACCGATTAGAAGGTAAAAGTTATGCAAGAAAGCACGATCGCGTTTAGCACGGCTAAACAATCAGGATCGAGTGTAGGTGTAGAGGGACATAAGAAACCCTTGGAAACTGTACCAGTGCAAATCAATGATTCATTCTTCTGTTTTAAATGTATGCTTTTTTTACTTCGTTCTTGAAAGTAAAGATCTGCACTTTCTATTCCATTTTTCACCTTCGTATCCCTTTCTATTCGTTTAGCTATTTACTCGTTTATTCCATAGGAAAACTGTCGTGGAATGGAACCTTCTTTCGTCGATTAAAAATTTATTATCAATATTAGAAATTGGTATATTGGATAGAGATGTTAAAGTAATTATATGTGCATTCTAGTAAATTTCATATCTAGACTGAGAATGTTTTTATAAGATTTATTAATTGTTAAACCACTGTAATGTTTAATAATACCTATATACATGTTCTTTTTAATGTGACAAAACTTCAACTAGAGGAAACGATATTTTGAGAAATCTTATAACTTTGTGCACTTAATGTTTGCAAGCTCATGATTTCTAGATACAGTAAGCATTAGCATACATATTTTATTTAATTCTTGCTTTTGTGATAAATTAGCTTTCCCAATTGTACAAAAATACTTAAAGCCTAATTGCAAAGGATATAATAAAAATAATATATAACATTGAAGAATTTCATTATAAAGAATAACAAAAAGTGTTAAAGACTGTAAATATAGTACGGTTTGGAACATTATTATACTTAATATGTATAATGAGTTTCCTTTCTTTGTTACTCAATGATCCGAAAATAGTAACGAGATTATATAATCACGGTAAATTTGGTATATTATAACCTGTTTCAGAAAGAGGATTTACGATTTCGTGAATTCCTATACTCTGGAATCCAGTTCCTCTCACTTTCAAATAACTCAAGTATTTCAACCCAGATTATTATGGAAGAATGAGGTACAACAGTGATTCCGTTAAATATCTCGAAAATTCTAGTGATTTTTCACATTAAAAATTCTGTACATATACAGAATTTTACATTAAATATTCTAGTACAATTCTACTATCTTACGTTTGTTTAAAAAAACATTTCCTTAAATCTATTAAAGAAAATAGTCAATTTTAATTCGTATCAACGAAGATATATTACGTTTGCAAAATTAAAATTTAACAAAGTGGAACAGCATAGCGCAGCTCTAATGATCCAAGATGACATTAGAAGTCATTATACTTGTAAAACCATCTATCTATAGCAAGTAGACTACGGGTTTTATTTATTCATTGCAAACACGCACACATAAAACATATGTAAATGAAAACTTAAACTCATTTTATTCCAAGATACATGAAATCTCTTAACAGATGAACACAATTTATTCATTCGGTTCTACTTTTTGGTAAATGAACTATACAACTGTGAATTTGCATAAATACGTGTTGTTTAGTAGGTAATAATTTGCCAAGTAAATCCTTCACGTTTGGCCTGCTACATTTCTTAGAGTTCCAAACCTTCTTAAACAATCAATTTATTATCGTTGTACAATGTTTTACCACCTTTTTTCTACAATATTTCATACGAATACATAAATAATTTTAACACACGAAAAAGAGAAAATATTTAGTTATAATTCCGTTTAAGCGTTTTTGTTTGTCTTCTAACGGAGATGAGTTACACTGGAAATGTATAAATTTTTCAGTGTCTTCGAACCGTATTAGTGACGTGACAATGGGCCCGGCGTAAAGTATGGAAAACGAACGCCGTTGAACCAATTGTAGTTGTCGCAACGAAATATCTAGATAATGAAGGCGGACCCTCCGTTCTAATGGAAAAGAAAAATCCTCGCTGCTCATGGCTATGCCACGCGGAGTTAGTCACTACGTTAGCCGGGTGATAGGCGGCCAATAGTCACGGTTGACCGAGAGCAATGATGTTTGCCCGTTTCTAGGAACACTTATTGTCTTTGGACAAGAAAGGCGTACAGGGCGATATTATGGGCCATTTATGATGTTATCCTTGAAGGGATCTATATTTTATTAATATAACGTCGTGACGCGTAAATATCTGTCTTTAGTTTCTTACCTTTATTCCAGTCCAACGACACGTTACAATTAACGTTCACGCGATATACATATACAGGGTGTGCCATTTAAATCGATCACCTCGGATATCTTCGAAACCGAATGACGATACCGAAAAATGTTTCAGATAAAAGTTGAATGGTTTCGAGGAAGAAATAATTTCATGTGACTAGTTTTTTTTGTGGATGAACTCTTAGAGGACATATGAAGGTCAAATTTATTTTTTTGTTTTAACGGAATCATATATTTTTTAACGAACTAGTCGACGCAGCTCGCCATTCTCTATAAAAAAAGTATTAAGCTATTATATCGAAAATGATTAGTTTAGGAGATATTTTAATATCAACATTGACATCTAATTGTAAGGACGTACTTACTTTTGAACATCAATTTTAAGAAGATAACATCGTATTACTAGTACCACTTAGCAATTTTTAAATTAAAATTCTTCCAAAGTAATGGTTTCTCGGCATAAATAGTATTTTCGTTTATAGGAAAAGACTAGCTGCATCGTCTAATGCATTACAAAATTTATGATTTCATTCGGAGAAAGAAATTTGTCCTTCATAATATGTTCTCTAAGCGTCCTCCTATAAAAAATCACATCAAATTATTTCAGTATTGAAACACTTCAACTATTACTTGAAATATTTTTCGGTGTCATCAATCATTTCGAAAATATTCGAGGGGATCTATTTATATAACCATCCTACCTATTTTTCGTCATTGTTAAATTTAATAATTGTCGTGCATGCTGTGTTATATAATTATTACGTAGGAAACTTTTGTTATTTATGCATCAGTCCAATACATACTGTAACCATAAAAAATACTGAGTATGATTAAATTAAATGTAAAAGTGGAAATATTCTTTGTGGAATGGTTAAACCATTAAAGTATTGAATAGCTTTATAAGTACCTAACGTAGTGTACTTTATGTAATAAGGTATTGTATAGTACCTATATTTAATGGGTATAATTAAACAGTGTGTAATGTTTAATAATATTATTTTGAAAATTGAAAACGAGAACGATATTATAGCTTTATTTTATTACTTTGCTATGACCTAATTAGTATCAATTATACAAATATACAACATGAATTTAATGAACTTCCAACAGAAGACACTATTTTTAACACATAGTATAAAAAATTTCTCAACGTAGCTTTCGAAATAAATCAGTTCCTCTTAGATCTTACGATCAAATTCCAGCAGCACAGTCAGTTAATCGTGTATTGAGAGAAGAAGGATATAGAAACAAGGCTCGAGAATGCTTATCTTCTGAGATGTAGACAATCACAAGTTCATTAACATTATGTGACATTGCTAGGTCACACTCGCGAAACGTAAACAACAGTAGTGCGATATCGATTAAAGATAGAGATAATAGTACAGGTTCGCATAGAGTATCCGCGACATTGATCTTCGATCAAGGATCCCACTACAAGTTATACTTCCTCTAACGTGCCAACTCTTTTCGAACTCGAAGCTTGTATTTTATATTCTAACATTTCAAAATATTGTGGAATTGATAATTAAAGTTTATAAAATAGACTGTTTGAATTTGGGAAAAAGAAAGTATGATGATTTAAACATTGCTGTCACGGGATAAAAGAATTTGAACGTGACATTAGAATATACAGATGACATTTTATTAAGGTGGAGAGGTCAAGGTCATTTGAAAAGTCGGTGAAGTTTTTTTTTTTAATTGTCATATACTACACTTTTTTTACAAAAACATCGCGCGTGGAATGTTTTAAAAAATCGGTAACTTGTTCTATTTATAAAAGTAGTATATTGTTATTAAACAGCATATTACCTGTTGAATACCATCAGCACTCTGAAGGCTATACTGATTGGCCCCATAATCGGTGCTGGCTTGTATCGGTGATCTCTTCACAGGCTCCTTCACGTCGATTTCCAACATGACAATGTCGTCCGCATTGCCAGGAGACGCTTCTGCCTTTTCAGCCGCGGGAGAAATCGTCTTTTCCGCGAGGGAAATTGCTAAAAGACCTATCGAACAAGTCACACATTTCAATTAATATTATACAATAATAATACTCAATAGAGAAACACAGATTATATACGAAACTTAAAATAGTATATTCCGCTGTAAGTGTACGTATACTCCTCATTTGTATCAGTACACTATAGAACAGTTTTTATTCAATCATAAAATGTCCAAAAGTAGATGTTACACTACCATTTTGATTTAAATTACTATTACAGTTTTATGATAAAGCGAAACATAAAAATCCACCACTTAATATATTATATAAGTAACTAATACGTATAATTTATTATTTTAAAGAAAGGGAGAATATATTCCGATGAATTTAAAAATACGTATATGCGTTACCTTTTTATGGAAAACACACGGTTCTTCGCGAAAGTCTTCGAATATGAACGAAAACAATACTTTCAATAAAATATTAATGATTTTAAAAAAATGTTTCATATAATTGTCGAATGAAAATCTGTTTTGGAATATCGACAATAATTTATTCTCGAGGATTTTACGTATTCCTTAATGTTACTTCATATCAAGCGTGATTGCATGTTATAACTGACCTTGAACAAAAATGACTAATCTTTCGTGGTATGTACTTCAGACATACCGTAAGAATGGAATCCGTTAATTGAGAATAAAAACGAAAAGGCAATTGTTACCATGTTATCGCTTCTTTCATTATTTCATAACTTCTTTCATTTTCTAATTGCATTATGACACAACACGTATTACCGAAACCTTGAATAGAACAAAAAGATATTTCCGTATTAAGATAAAGTTAAGAAGTACCTATTTAAGGTAAGAAACAATTACCGTAATGTACAAGTAAGAAAACGCTAACACTTCAGTATAATTTCTTTCATAACAGTAATAAAAGCATGAAAGTTCTTCGTAGAGATATATGCTGTATAAAACTACGTTAACATCGAAAATTCACGAAAATTATCCACGCTTAATCGCTTTCTTAGTATCGTATCGCAAGTCACTATTAAATTCATCTTTTTATTTCTAACAGAGTATCGACATGGGAATATGGAATTGTAGGCAACAGAAAATATTTCTTGTATACTAACAGAGCCTGTAGTCTGTATTGTAGTAATCATAGAAACGTTCCTTTCTCCCGAAAGTTAGAACATCATTTCTAGCACATAACTCGAAATTCAAAAACCAACGACTAACAGGTTCAAATCGGACCAACCTAAAACTCAAAGAATCGAATTGGTCCAATCCAAGACCACCAGAATTGATAGTATTGAACGCAGGACCGACATACTCGAATTGGACTAACCCAGGGTTCAAGTGACTCGAACTAAACCAACCTACAACCAATAGACCAGACAGCTTTAGAACTCAGAGATTCGGATCAGACTTTTTCAGTGGTCAATTTGAATCGAAGCACAAAACATGATCGAGATAAGTGACACATCCCTTATACAACTGATTTACAAGAATTGACCATGTATATTAAATGACTATAATATACATGGTATAATGATTCGCAGTGTAATGTATCAAGAATTTTGCAGAAAGTATAGATAATAATTGTTTTCAAACGTAGTTTCTTTCGAAGTCACAGTGCGGAATCATATGTTCCATACGAATGAACGGTGAAATTACAATGTAATCGATAAATCGACGACAGATGGGTACTCGTTGGAATTACTCTGATTTGTAACACGATTGAACGAAATTGCGGAAGGACGAGATTCGCAGGTGACTTTTATGTCGTTCTGCTTGACTGAGAGTGTGCAGTACGAAGGCGGAAAGGAGTTGGGAAAGCAGTCTAACGCAGAGAAAGTTACGCGCTCTTGAGAAACTTTTCCCACAAGGTTTGCGTTCGAGTGTTCGCTATTCAATGAAACCTTCCGTCGATAGTAACTCAAATCGGAGCGGCTGGAACAATCGATGCAATAAGAAATGTTCGACAGTATCAACAAATCACCTTTGAAGTTTCTTTTACGAAACGATATTTTAACAATATGTAACAATGTACAGTCTATCGTTTGAACTTTCAGTTGTGTCAGTAAATTTTATTATTGAGTTGATGTATAAATAATGGGAATTTCTCCATATGAAAACAAAACCTTTTGTTATTCCTTTAGTTATATGTATTTTCAATTATGTGTGTGACATATCACTTTGAAAAAGTGATCCGTCTTTGGAAAATTGTATGACAGTAATACAAAAATCTTATTTGGGGAATCTCTATTATATAATATATGCATCAACTCAATATATTTTGATGAGAATACTACAACGCAGTCAGTGTGATGTATTAATTTAATACAAATTTTAATTTATTTTTAATCTTATAAAATTCCTAACAAGAGAAATATATTTTAGGTTAATCTCTGTCTTGAAAATCAGTCTCGAAAGATGTGAATTTTTAACATGTGGAATTCATAGAAATGCTTTAAAATTAAATTAATTGTTGAAACCGTCAGTTGAAGAACTTAATTGTAACAGTAACGGTATGCAAATTACAAACGTAATATACGCGTTCGATCAAAGTGGGATACCAATTTCGCAGAAATGCCTGTCAACGCATTTCTTGACAATAAAATAGTTTGTAATAAAAACGACCATCAATGAAGTGTTTGTTTTTGTCAGGCAATGAGCCGTTGATTTATTATCCGTTTCACTGAACATTGAACATCAGTATTGAAACACTTCTGATCTTCTGTATTTACTTTATTCCAAACAGTTGACGTTTTTATCAGGTAGAGAAACTTAAACATTTACTTGATCTCTCTTGGTAATTAATTGTAATTTACTGTAATTATAACTCTTCATAGATTGATTAGATAATCACCTAATAGATTACTTAGAATTACCCTAAAAATTCTTACACAAATATTTTTCGACATTTTTTAAATTACTTTTAAATTTGGTGATTGGTTTTTATATTGTATTATGTAACCTCGAATTTACAAATCCAATATCGAATCTTATGTAATTTCTAGTTTTTATTTATAAGTGTCGATGTATAAGTAGAACTTTCGAAAATATTCCATCGGAAGTGTAGGAATGTAGAACTCGACAAATGTCTGTAACACTTTCTAAACGGAAATATGATTTATGCAGGGAGACTTCAAACGTGAAAAAGTGCATTATTGAACGTATGTAAGTGAATTCACATGTCCCAGCAACAATTTTCCATCTTTTCACGTAACACAGATCGAAATATCTTAGAAAAATATTAAAATAATAAATATTTATTAAAATAAGTTTAGAATTTTTTGGATTACATTTAAACACTAGAAAGAATAATAACCATTTTCTAAACCTTTTCTAATGTTTCATTTCGTTATACTTTGTTCTGATTTGATATAAATTCGTGAAATCCGCAAACAAATAAGAACACATTCTGTTATGGCTATGGTCTACATCGTAGAAAACGAAATACATGTTCCATTACAACATAATCAACAATTACAACGTAATCTATACGTCTCTTCACTTTATGTTGTAATCAAATGATACTTTTTATAAGTAGTTCTTCAACCCTGGTGCACTGTTCGTGTCAATTTAACCCAAAACCAATATTTGAATGTTTAATTGTATTTCTTATTCCAGAAATTAGTTAATTACTTTGACAACCAATGGCTTACAATTTTATTATCTAGCGATAGGTAAATATTAAATGTACCAATAAGTAATCCACTATTACTTAACGAAATTAGTATTATTCTTTGTAAAACTCGAAGATTTATACTGTTTCATTTGTATTCATAGTGATGGTTCGATATCCTACAACATTTTTACTAAACGAACGACAAGAAAGATATTTTTAAGGTAAAATATATCGCCTCGTAAACGAAAAAAATGTTGGATTACTTATTGTTGCACCAAATATATTTCCTTAATTCGATTTTAACTCAGTCCGAAATTTTAATTCAACGAACACTAATACAACAGTTTAACGAACACTGCACTGAGGCTTGAAATCAGACTTGAAAAAGGACAGGAATTTCGCGTTAAATAACAGACACTGCCTGCAGCAGCACGTTTGCTCCTTGAATCTACATCCGTTGAATAAGTACTCGCCGGTATCCATAACACTTATTCACCGACCAACCCGGAAGACTTTCCTGCGGGTTCGATATTCTTTGATGTTGTTTTACTCTGATTTAACGTGACTAACTAGGAAGTCAGTTCTTGAGGTGTAATAGACGCGTACTGATACACACGAGACAGAGAATACATAGAACGACAAATTAATTAAACTATTGAACTCAGAAATTTTATCGTTAGATCGTGATTATCTTTTTTAAGATTGAATTTCTTGATGGAAAGTAAGCTCGATTTGAAAAGACAAAAAAAGACTGTTCTCGTGCGAAAGACGTAGCTAATTAAAAGAAGCACAATTACCGGTCTAAAGAAATGCTAAATTAAGCCGCGATAGATCAGTTTTATGTTCATTGTGTTGGTATTCAATTGGAATTTAATTAAGCGATAGCCTTGGAACTGTGGAATATAAACGGCTGGAAATAATTCCAAGGTGATATTTCCAATCTTCTGTTCATCTAGAATCTAGACAGATAAACTGGTCGTTAAACTTGAAACCGATTATGTAAAAAATAATGACCTTACTTTCGTCGATCAGTGTCAAACAATCGTGAAAGTGAACCCACAGGAAATTTCTCCCGTACTATTGCCACTACGCTTTCATTGCAGACGGATGCAATGATAATCATCTTTTTAGTGGTCGCGCCTCCGAACCGGTCTTCCTCTGAAAACAGCTTCCCGCTAATCGCTGAAAATAGCCATCTGGACAGCAAGGCATAAATGATGGTGTGCAAGCGTGTAATTAGTAAACTGCGGTCTCTGTGCAATTATGATGCCCACACGTGTGTAGGACACAGTAAAACGAATACTTTAGTACTATTTGTTCAACTAAAATGAATTTCTATTTAATTCTCGCTTTCGACAATTTGTAGCAATTATCCGTGGCTTAAGAATAAAGAACATCTGCGTTGTTAGCCGAAAGCTTAGAATGCTT